AAAAAAAAAAAAAAACAGCCACTAGATAGACATAGAGGCCAGAAAATGGTGGCACACACACCTTTAAATCCTAGCATTCTGAAGACAGAGATCCATCCAGATCTCTGTGAGTTCAAGGCCATACTGGAAATAGAGCCAGGCATGGTGGCACACACCTTTAATCCCAGCACTTGAGATCTCGTCTTTCCTTGGGAAAGACACACACCTTTAATTCCAGCACTTGAGATCTCTTGCCTTGCTTGGGAAAGACACACACTTTTAATCCCAGGAAGTGATGGCAGGAAGCAAAAAGGTATATAAGGCGTGAAGATCAGGAACTAGAGGCTTTTAAGCTTTGAGGCTTTTAGCAGCAGTTCAGCTGAGATCCATCTGGGTGAGGACTCAGAAGCTTTCATTCTGGGGAAACAAGATCAGCTGAGGAACCAGTGAGGTGAGGTGTGGTTTGTTCTGTCTCTCTGATCTTTCAGAATTTACTCCAATACCTGGCTTCAGTTATTTCATTTGTAAGACTGCTTAGCAATTCGACTACAACTTTACATCTTACTTGATCTTTCAATAAACCCCACAATGACACTGTTGCCATCACTTCCCAATCTTTCATTCACTTCTCCTCCTTTTTAAAAACTTAATATTCATTACTTCAAGACCAATATTTAAGTTTATATTAAAGACAACCAGAGGAAACTGTAGGATGGTTGTGTATACATCTCTATCATATCAGAGCTCCAAACACTATACATTAAAGACAAAATCAAAACCATATAGAATCCTGAGACTTAGTTCAAGATTATCCAGGATAAACTGAAGAGTTGGAAAAAAAAAAAAACCCTAAAGCTCCAAAACTACACTAGCTTCTTCTAAAAACCATCATGTGGAATACAAAAAGATATAAGGAAAAGATACTTGTAAAATAATCTCAATTACTTCTATGTCCCCAGAAACATATTCAGTTCAAGGGGAATAAGAAGTCACCCAGAACCGAAATTTTCTGAGGTCTCTTTCCCCCAACTGCTTCCTGAGGGGACCACATTTTTACCTGGGATCACTTGCCTTGGCCTGATGGACTCCATATAAAAAGGTAAAGTGGGTACCTTACACATTTGTGTGTCCTGATCTATAAGCTTGCATCAATATACAGGTATTAAAAAGAAGTATGTGCTCTACCAGAGAATATCAAAGAATTACTTGCTCGCAGAGACAGTGCCCCTCCCAATCTTTATTCATTCAGCAGTGTGTGCCAAGTATGCAGCCTAGCAATCCTGCCAAGATTCCCAACCTTCCTCCTACAGAACTGACCTTCACTCTCATGTGATGTGTAACCATCAGGATGCATTTAATCATATTCTTTATTCGTATTTCTGTCAGTTACAACATGCTCAACATTATTCTTCAGTTTCTAGAGACTAATTTCCACCAATATTGCACAATTCCTCATTAGCAAAGCTCCCTTTAGCCTCAAATCTTTCTTTGCTTTCTTCACTAACTGGCTGTAATAAGGACAGAGTCAGTCTTAGAGACATACTTCTAGCTCACATCCTTCATGTGGGGGATTAGTCTCTTCCTCAGACCCCTCAGTTCTTGGCTTTGAGACAGGTTAGTAATGGGTCATCTTTTCCAGCCATTCTACATCCAGACCTTCCCAGCTCTCGTCTCTACACACCCCAGATCTTTCCTGCACAGCGGAGTATGTGTCTAACCACTCGGTCTCCTCCCCAGTGCAAGCTAGTCAGCATCTCCACTTGAACATCTAAGGTAGTTGGAGCTTCCTGTAGATTTTCCTTTTCATCCAGACTCAACGATTTGCATTTGTACCAGTCAAACTTAAGTACTCAGCATTCACATTAAATGGAAGCAGAAATCCATCTCTATACAAAATTATTCCTGTGACCTCATGCCTTAGAATTCTCCTTGCTCTCTGTTTCAGGTACACTGGCCATCTTTCTGTTCTCCTTTTATTTTTTAATTAATTAAAATTTTTCATTTCTTTTATATGCTGACCACATTTCCTT